TACCTTGTTTGTTGTCAAAACCCAGGGCTTTTTTGTAGCAGGAACTCCTTTGCATGTTAGGCCACACACCCCTAATGTAGCCAATCCCAATGAGTTCCTGCTGTTGGGTGTGGCCTCTTATGCTAATGAGCTCCTGCTGAGTGTGGCCAACTCAGGAGCCAGCAGGAACTCCGTTCCTGTGCGTTCCTGCCCAAAAATAGCCCTGACCTCAACCGCCACCAATGAACTATGCTAAATACTACTTTATTTATTAAATTCATTTGAATCCTGCCTTTCTCCCCTAACGGGGACCCAACATTCTCCTCTCTTCCATTTTATCCTCACGACAACCTTGCGAGGAAGATTAGGCCAAGAGAGTACGACCGGCCCATGGTCACCCAGCAAGCTTCCATGGCACAAGTTGGGATTTGAACCCATGTCTTCCAGATGCTAAGAATGCACTATGAAGTCATATGAAACAATATTAGAATTAATGCAGTTATCACATAACTTGGTACACAGCAACCCATTCTTGGCCCATTGTTGTTCCCCATGCACAACTGCAACACAGGAGACCACTGCTTCTGGAACAGCTGCCACCACTCTTGCTAGCACAGAAGCAGAGAGGCAAATGAGCAAGGCCCAGGAAGCTAGCTAGCTGGGGAAGGCAGCCTGTGCCTTTGCTAAGTGTGAGAGATCAATGGCTGAAATGGCAGAAAAGCTAGCCATTACTTAACTATGACTGAAGAACGAGGGCAGCTGCCATCAATGGCTTCCAGGTAGCCTCTGCTGGTTTTACAGAGGTTCTGGCATCCCCACCCATTCTGGTGAATCTGTGGAAACCCCTAATCCTGCGGACCACTAAGCCAAAATCTCACCTTCCAAACCTGTGCTGAGGAAAGAGAGGCATTGTGCTGCTAAGCAATAGCGCTGCCATTCGTGGGCAGCTTCCAATAGCTGCTGTTCCTGGGGTTCAGGGGATGATCACAGGACATCCATTCACAGAGGGAAAAGCCCAGGCATGGGTTAAAGGGTGTGCTTCAATGTCCCTGGATTCCCGTGGATTCAAGGGCAGGTGCCCTTCATTAGCTGGGGTTCTTCTGAAGGTCCTTCTGAAGGACACAAGTATTCAGCAGGCTCCCCATCCTCTTCCAAGGAGATCTCCTGCACTCGGGCTCAAGAAGATGACAGTTTGCTGTTGCCTCGTTC